CAAGGGTTTATTTAGTTTGTCACAGCTGCTGTGCTAGGAAAGGCTTCTACCTCAAGGCCGTACCTGTGCAGCTCACTGGCATCGCTGGCCCTGGTGCCCCGCATGTCTTCCGCTTCGAGAGACGGTGTGATGCAGGATCATGATGTCACATTTAATTACCAATGTGCACTGGCACAGTGTGCAAGTAACAGTAACAGTAATTAGTTTGTCACCGGCATGCCATTTCATTGTCTTCCCTTGTCATTATGAGTCTCGAATGCAGGACTCGACGAGAACAGCATCAACGACAAGTTTTGGGGTTCAAAGTACCCGGACCACCCGCACGACGTCATCCTGCGGTTCCGTGTTTGCATGAATCATGAATTATAGGTTCTTGAGGCTTTGTTGACTCTGCTCTCGTTGTTACAATAATTCCGGTTTCAACATGGGCGTGCAGGACCAAGCAGTGGATGGCAGACAAAGATTGGTCGGACTGTTTTCGCTTTTTGCCCCGTGCGGTAGCTGTGGCAAGGTTTCCCCAGGGACTTCCCCAAGGCAGCTCCGGCACAAAGTGTTCCTTTTTTCAATACATGGGTTAGTTTTTAAGGCTGGAAAATGAAGCTTGATGGTCTGAGGGTCTCACGGGCTTCGAGTAATTTAATGTAGACCCCGAACCCGGAAACCTTCTATGGGTCCTTTAGTTTTGTGCAAACCCCGAAGATCGTCTTGGGGGAAGGCTTGGCGGTTCAATTGCGTTTAGGATTGATCTCAGAACCAAAGTGTACCAATCTGTTCCTTCTGCATTGCCAGTTCTGGCGGAGAAGAACCCCATTGATACCACCACGCGCGAGCACATTGCGAAGTACGCGCCGATGCTGCGTGACCGGGCTTTCAGGCTTGACAAGGCCGCTGACTATCTGGAAAGTTGGGTGGCCGGGGTTCTCGTGGAGAAGCCATTGCTCAACTGCGATGTGACACCTGCTGTGCATTCAGTGGGCATCAGATTTTTATATTGCATACAGCTACTTGAAGAAGGTTTCTTATTCATACCTGCCAAGCGTGTGACTTGATCCTTGTATTTCGCAGTCTACAGTAGTATAGAACGAGCGTTTCAGGGACCTTCCACGTCAGACTGCCTGAGGCTTCGCTTGGATGGGAATGCTGCTGCTTCGAGCAGTGACGTTCCAGCCCCACCAGCAGCAGTTCTGGAACCGTCTGCAAACCCTCTCAGGCACGTGAGTTTCTGAGATTGCAAATTGAGAGCAGCAGCAGCAGCAGCAGCAGCAGCAGGAGCAGTAATTGTACTACTAGTAGTCGTCGTCCTCCTCCTCGTAATCATAATCACAATAGCAGTCAGTAGCGGCAGCAGCAGCACCAGGAGTAGTAGTAGTAATGATTATTATTATAATGTAGTAGTAGTAATAACAATAGTAGTAGGTACTAGAAGTAACAGTAATGGAAGTCATGGCAGTAGTGTAGTAGTAGCAGCAGTGTGGTAGTAGAAGCATTTAATGGCAAGTACTAGCAATGCTATTACAGTTTGGTTGTTCTTGTTGTTGTTATTGTTCTTCTTGTTATTGTTATGTGACGGTGGTAGTGGTGGCGGCGTTGTCGTTCGTAGCTGCTTTCAGGATATTGTTGGTGGTGGTGGTGGTGGTGGTGGTGTTGGTGTTGGTGTTGTGTTGTTGTTGTTGTTGTTGTTGTTGGTGCTGTTGGTGTTCTTGTTGTTTTGCACGATCGGGGCATGCACATATAATGAATGATGTATACACGGGGCCCATTGGCATTTAATTTTGCAATCCCCTGGACTCTGAGCAGGCTTGGCCGTCCGAAGGATCACACAAAACTCGTCCGTGAGTACGATCAACGGGCCGAGCGATCGATCGTGCTGCGTTCAGCCGCGACAGCGTGGGCTGATGGAGTACCCTGGGCAGACGCTCTTCACATGGCAGAAGTCGCTCAGGAGCGTGCCGAAGCTGCGTCTGCAAGGCGTGATCGGGTCGCCGGTAAAGGCCGCGGGAAGCAGGGTGGGCCACGTGGCAAAGGGCGAGCTTCTGCAGTCGCTGCTGGCGCGGCGGCCTGACAATCACTCGTCGACCGAGGTGGGTCATAGAGATCCAAAAGCACCGTAATTAGAAATGGAGTGATTCTTTTATAACCCAAATACAGAAGGGGTTGCCCGAACGAGGGATGTTCTGCAGCCATTATCTAAATTTAGGGGCCTTGAGACGATCCTAAACCCAAAAATAGAGTTCCATGGCTTGGCTGCAACGAAATTAGGCTAGAAACATTTCTTGCTCTGGTCGATTTCGGTCTTATTCGCTGGGTTTTTCATAGATTCTGAATTACGAGTTCGATCTTCAAAAACCCAAATTTGACGACGGTCCGGCCGTGGCCGGTCATTCTCCCCGGGAAGGTGCTAGTAGCGTGCGTATCTACTTTTCGCCGCACGAAAACGCAAAAAAATTGGGGTGCGGCATTGTAGTTAGGAGAGACTTGTCGGGGTTGGAGTAAACATGGCTTGCGCGGACACCCGCCCAGCCTGGCAGCTGGCGGGTGGCGGATTTCTAGGCTCCTGGAGCCTAGAAACCCCTCAGAATCGCGGAAACGCCCATTGTTCAGCAGATTTTGCGTGCTAGAGTGGAAACCTATTGAAATGGCCGGCCAGGAGGAACCACCGATTTGTGTTGAAACCCAGGTGCTTTTCAACTCAAATCGCTCCCGCGGTCCTGCGTCGCGAGAAGCGTTTAGCGCGGAATCCCTCTGTCCAACGCGAGAGGCGTTTGCGTTGAATCCGTCCGACGCGACAGGCGTTTGCGTTGAATCCGTCCGACGCGACAGGCGTTTGCGTCGAATCCTTCTAACGTCGGTTGGCCAAACCCCAATTTGCGATGAATCACAGGTAGGATTCGACTCAAATTGGGGCTTCGGCGAGAGAGCCGATTTGTGATGAATCCCAGGTGGGATTCAACTCAAACTGGGCCTCTGGGCCAGGCTGGACCACCCCTGAAATTATACAGGAGTAGTGAAACCTGGCCCAGAGGCCCATTTTGAGTTGAATCCCACCTGGGATTCATCACAAATCGGCTCTCTCGCCGAAGCCCCAATTTGAGTCGAATCCTACCTGTGATTCATCGCAAATTGGGCTTTGGCCAACCGACGTTAGAAGGATTCGACGCAAACGCCTGTCGCGTCGGACGGATTCAACGCAAACGCCTCTCGCGTCGGACGGATTCAACGCAAATTTTTTTCGCGTCGGACAGACAGATTCAACGCAAACGCCTCTCGCGTCGGACGGATTCAACGCAAACGCCTGTCGCGTCCGACTGATTCAACGCAAACGCTTGTCGCGTCGGACAGACAGATTCAACGCAAACGCCTCTCGCATCGGACGGATTCAACGCAAACGCCTGTCGCGTCGGACGGATTCAACGCAAACTTTTTCAATCGCGTCGGAGGACAGACAGATTCAACGCAAACTCCTCTGAATTGATTTGTCTGTGACCGCAACACCTTCAGTGTTACAGACACTCGGGGACAGACAGACAGACAGACAGACAGAGAAACACATCATCATGATGTCATCATGGCTACTAGTATAATAGTTAATTATACTGTATCGAAAGTCTTTGTCCATGTTCTCTTTCTTTAAGCCCTGCAGGAGCCTGCGGGACGATTCGGTGTGACAAGCGGTGCTCTGTTTGTTTGCTTCTGGATGCTGGTCCTGGACGATCATTACATAATCATCTGGTCAGACAGCTGCTGCAAGCCACACGTTGTGATTCCATGGTCTCCTTTCACGTGGAGCCCAAGTGGCTTTGAGTCACTCTGTTGCAGTGCGCCCACCGAGTCCGACTCCAGCAAAACAGTTCATGTGCGAAGTGTCTAAATTAAATCCATAGCGCCTCTCAGCTCCAAAACTGTAACTTCGATTCGGCAAGCTAAATTAAAGTGAAGCTGAATGTTCCAGGCTGTCCAATTACCCAAAACAGACATGCAATAATAATTTACCAGATTGAAATCAGACAGGTCAGCCTCAAGGCCCATAGCTGCTCCTTACAATGACAGGCCCAGAATGTCCCAGTTTCCGTCTTTATGGCAGCATGTCAATGCCCCTTAGATTGCCGCGCAGGATTTTGGCGTTCCGCAGATTCTGCTACGGCGATGAGAATGTTTTCAGTTAGTCAATTCAGAACAAGCGTCACTTGGCCTCATTATCACAGTTCTTCAGCCGGGACCCTTGGCAGCAGGACATATTTAGTAGTCGCCTGGAGCCTTTGATGTGCATTACAGTACGCTTCTCATTGTCTGTTGCTGAGCCATCCTAGGACAGTGGCGCCTTATTGACTGAGTGTGAATTTGACATCATAAGAAATTGGGCGGCTTGCTATGCAGCGCTGAGAGTCGCTTTCTGATGCACTGACCAGGCTCAGGTAGCCCTTGATGCATCTGATGTGTCAGCATTGATGCTCTCATCCCTCAAAGTTTTCCGACTCGAGCGTGCGGTTGACTCTGTCGATGTGAGGACCTAGCCTAAGTAACTGAATCACTTAACCTGGTGTTAAGTTAAGGCTTCAGGCTCAGTTTCATGTCATTCGGTGTTACATGTTTTGAATTCAGATTCATTCATTCAATGTCACTGGTCCCGCTGCTGAGTATTACTACTGTTACTCTCTAGGCCAGACTACCTTAACCTAGCATGGTGTTAAGTTGACGGCTAGTTTCAGGTTCATTCTGTGTTACTGTTACTGTTACGAATTCAATTTCATCGTTTCAGCACTGTACTGTAGGCCACACCGACAAGCTTAATTGCAGTCCGGCCGCTTGCCGAGCGAAACTTGTCCTGAACTCAGAGATTCATTCAGTGACAGTGCAGTAGTCCTGCAGCTTGGGCCCTGCCTCACGGAGTGAGTGACCATGGCCGGCAAGCGGAAGTCAGGGGAGGGCAAGGCTGGGCCTGCCAATGCGAAGGCAGCCAAGCAAGGAGCAAATCCGGCCACCCTGGAAAAGTACAGCTATGTTCACAAGATCACGGCTTGGAAGCTTGTTCTGCAAAGTTCATGCTAAACTATTAAGCCATGGACTGTGACATGCCTCTTGTTAATCTACTGCACGTGCTGGACCTGATGGAGTGAGCATCAACAGTCCGTTTCCTCTCTGAGTCTGAGGCTCAAGGACACCGTGCTGCCCGCCGGCTCCATCGACGCCTTCCTTAGCAACCAAATGGACACTGAGGCAAGGCAATTGTTGTAAACTCGTCATGGGTCATAGTTATCAGAATCATTCATTCAGTCTAATAAAGTCTAACTACTAATACTAAGTCACTACTGAGGACTTCGTCCCAACATGGCATTGTTGCTCACCCTCTGTCTGCTAGGAGAAAAAGCTTGACTTCGCCCGGTGGATGGACAACTTCTGTCCTGCAGATTCTGAGCACCTTGACTGTTTCGACACAGTTGAAACACAAACGATTTTTTTTGCACTGCCTGCACCTGCAGGAAGGCCTACAGCATTGACAGCAACGGCTGCTACTTGAGGCCCTTCCAGTTGGGATGGCGCTCAGATTTCGGAATTAGCGGAATGATGGAGCCTGAAACGGCCGAGCTCCTCCTGGAACTCATCTTGACAGAGGGGCTACTGGACCCAGTACTATAGACTGGTGTTACTTTAATGTGTACTTATAATCTTCTTGATTTGGTCCGGGTTCTGATTTGACTTGCGATCTAAGGTTCCTGACTGACCCCAACGTTGTCGGTGTCGAGAAGTTGGGCGTCACGCTGCCTCCACCGGAGTACCTCGACGGCGGCATCACCGAATGCCCCGCCATCAACCTGGGCAGTAACTTGGGAGCATAGCGCGAGTCATATCTGTGTGCATTTGATGTTGTGATTCAGGTGCTTTGTTGCCACCCTTCAGTGTCGGGTACGTGAAAGGGTGGAAAAGAGCAGTGTGCTTGATCCTGGCACTCTGTGGAATCAGAGTGCTGGGATTGGAGGCAGAAGTGCCCCACCACATTCGTGCGCCTGGTCTTTACATCAACACATGCTGTAATTAAAATTTATCATAGTCAGATAGTGTAAACGTGAAGCCTTTAGATATTAAGTTTTAAAATAATAGAGTGAGATTTCAGATCATTTCCCGGCCTCAGGTGACAATGGGCACCATCCACTGCTCCTTCGGAGCCTTTCAAGGTGTGAAAGCCAAGGTGTTGGCTTCGCGAGGTGGCCTGCATGCACCAAGTCAAGACAATTGGCGTCGACAGTCATAGACCGATAACTGGTTATTATTATTTGTTGTTAAAACTGACAGACTAGGAGTGACCCTCGCGTCTACCGCAACGCGGCGACCCCCAAACTGCTTCCACTTCCTGCGTCAAGTTGTCATCTTACAAAGAGCTGGAGCAGGAGGAGCCGAACAGCAGTTTTCGGAGACTCAGAACGAGATAGCAACTTGAAGACGTTTGGCTTTATGTTCGATTCCTACGAAGTCTTGTTATTCTCAGTCTCAGGATTGGCACTCCCAGACTGCCATTGCGAAGGCCTTCCAAATAGGCCGGAGCGAAGCCGGAGCTGTGCAGCAGCTCATCACGGCCGTGCCGAAGGATGTGAAAAATGCATTGGAAATGGCAGTGAAGCAACGAGGTATGGTGAAGTTTCTGGGCCATGAAGCTGTGGCACGACAACTCTTCAGTGCCTCCTACATCAACACCTCGCCGGGCATGGATGCATGGCGGGACCAGCTGACAAACGCCCCGGGCGATTCCAGGATTGTGACTGAACGTGAACATCTGGTTTGCAAAATTTGGGGTTGAGGGATGGCTCTTGAACTCAATTAAGCTTTCTTAGTGGTCTACTATACTGCACCAGACACGTAGAATGCGATCATCGTGAGCATAATCCTTTCGTTTTCAGACCTTGGTCAGTGTAGTCCAATCAGAATCATAATCATCATGCAATACTTGTCCGAATCATCATGACCATCATCATCCTCAGCTCACGCGCCCCCTCGATCATGGCTGGCTATGTCTATCTCTATCTCTATCTTTAGCTCTATCTTTATCTCTATTTCTATCTCTACGTCTACCTCTATAAGGCATCTTTGCTGGTGGAGCGCCTCGTCAGCGACTTCGACCTCGCGCCCGAGCCCCTGCGCAAGGTGCCTTGGAATCTTAGTGGTTGCAACTGCAAGTTTGGCCTTCAGAGTAAAATACTGAGAATCCAAGATTGGTTGCAGCAGTGTTAAACTTAGCTTCCTCAGGCACCGACCTACAAGGAAACGGTGACAAAGCATGCTTGCTGTGCTGCCATGCTGCACTTCCTCGGCCTCTTGGAAGCCATGTGCCCCGGCAAAGAGTTTCCTGAACTCCGGCGGCAGCTCATGCATCAGTTCCATCACGGCTACTTGGACACGGACCTTGTCCACGTCCTTGAGAGCGCCGTGCCGCCAGCAGATCTGAAATCTGTTTCCGCCTTCAGGTGCACGGTTAATAAACAAGCAGCATAATGAACCATCTACCTCACAATTTTCCGCCCTCAGGGCGGTGGTGGTCCAGATCGAGACCCAGGCACAGGCGGAGATGGATGCGACGCAGGCAGAGCATGCGCGGCAAGTCCGCGAAGCCACCCTGGCCCAGATCACCGCCTTGGTCGAGTCTGACATCAAGGCATTGCGGCAGCGGACCCCAGACCATGTGCTCAAGGCCATCGCTGCGGCAAAGGATTTGAAGTACGTCAAGGACAGGCAAATGCAGCTTGACACGAATAACACTAGCCAGAAACCTTGTCACGTGGACTACGTTAGTTATGCTGTCAAGGCAAGGCGACAACTTTGTGCACACGTGGATGGCCGAGTACTGCCACTGCGAGATGCTGGACGAGACGCTCAGCTGCAAAGGCAACAATGTCCTGCCCAACGTGCTCAAATACCTGGGCCAGTTCCGTGGCATCGCGGGCACGCAGCCACTCGACGATTACTTATCCTGCAGCCTCGAGTCAGGCCTAAAGTAATCCAATTCGTGAATCCCAATTCATCATTACAATCATTGTTACAGACTCGGAGCCCGAGGTCCCAGAATGTAGGTAGAGCTCCTATTTTGGGTTTAAGTGTTACGTTTATTATTAAGAGATTAATAATTGACATAATATGACAGTAATTAATAATTGTCGGGTTGGGAATCTAAATTATGAGTTATTTAGTTAGAGCTCCTATTTGGGGTTGTGTGTTACTTCAGTGACTAGTTGACATGTGATGTAAGTAAACTAACTAAGAATAACTTAGTGTCCTCGGGGTCTACGGTTTAAGGATCAAGTGTTCTGGGCCTTCGGAGTTGTTGTTTTCTATCAAGCGGCCTGGGATGACCGCTTCCAATTCAGGTACGTGTTGTGCCTTTGCGATTACACGGTGCTGCCAGCGAATGTAGATTACGTGAGGGACTCCGTGGAGCTGCTGGCAAACTTGCTTGCCAGCAGCTCCAACAACGTGGGCCTCTTGCAGCTTCCGCTGCCGCATCGCTCGATGGCTTCGTCAACGAGCGTCAAGCACAGGCGGACCGTGGAGGACTTGTTGCTGAAGGCAAAGATCAATGCAGACTCCGTGACAGCCCTGCTTTTCGAGAAGCCTGCCGACGCAAGTGCATCTGACAAGCGGTCCCTGACGCAAACCTGCTTGACCTGCCTCTTCAGTGGCTTCGATGCAACAAGCTGGAGCGCTTCGCGAGTCTTGCAAGAGTGCCGAATGGGACCCTTCCCGCTCCTGAAAGTCGCGGACTTCCTGGGCTACGAGACCTCGCGGCCTGGCCCTGCGGCGAGGATAGAGCAGCATCTGGGCAACAAACTGAGTCCGAAGGTCAGACTTCGGGCATTTACAAAGAGTTTGTTTCTTTTCTAATACTACTGAAAGGTTCTTTTAAACTTAGTGGGTGTGAACCATAAAAAAATATCGGTAATCATTAGCAGGAGAACCATACTAAATAGGTTGTCAGGATTGGGGTCAAGTTTAACTCGTGTGTCACAGGGTCGGTCGCGTGGGCGTTTCGGTCACATCGAAAGATAAGGGTTTTTGTATTTGACTGATTCATTCCTGTGAGCCAGTGGTCTGTTATCCGAATCAGAACATGAGTGCGCCATCATACGAACAGGAAGGGAGTGCCGCTGCATGAGGGCATCCTCGATGCTTTCATGGATGGCATGGGCTTCTCCGAAACGGACAGGCTGGTGATCGTGGACCTCTGTCCCAACAGGTTGGACCTGAACTGATATGTTGATTCCTTTCTTTCAGTCAAACCATCATATAATACTTGAAATTCGAAGGGTTGCTCCTGCAGGCAAGCCGAGTTTGCCCGCGCGGCCGTGAACAAGATGATTGCGAGCGAAGGCAAGAGTTGCATGCGCTACGTCGGCCTCTTCCGCCCGGAGCATGCTGATGTGAAAGCGGAGCTCAGCGGCAAGATCTACTCCTGGTGGGATAACAGCAGCGCCGCCCCTGCAAAGAGACGCGCTGGAGATGATGTCGATTTGGAGGCGGCGACCGTGCAGCTGCAGATCCTTTCCTTGCAGGGCTCCAAGCCCATATGGCCGTCTTCGCTTGAGGACAAGTTTCCGTGCGGTACCCCGGAGCATGCAAAGCTCCTGGCATTGCGCCAGGAGTTTTTGAATGAGTTCCCGAAGCCGCGAGCTCTGAGCCAGATGGGCCGACAGGCCTCTTCGGTCAGCCAGCAGACCCAGCGCCTGGCTGCGGAGTGCGACTACTCGCAGGATGGAGAGCCGCTGGACGTTGAGCGGTGCGTGGACCTCGCAACGGTCCCCGTCGCAGAGCTGAACGAGACCATGCTACCAGTCTGATGGCTCTTAAGGTTTGAATCATTGATTGAAAAATTTGTTCTGAGCATGCAAGGTCGCAATGCGTGTAATTATTAGCCCAAAGCCCAGAATCAGAAGCCTTTAACTTTTCATCCCGAATCCTAAACCCCTTTTACTAAACCCCCAAATGCCTAAACCCCGAAACCCTAACTTTGTAACAGGAACTTAGCCCTAAATTCGAAAAATTAGCGTACATGTTTAGATCTGTGTGTGTGTGTCCTGCTGCTCATGGCACCTGACTCAGGCTTTCCATGGTCACTGGGCGCCCCGGCAAGCCGAGCATCATGATCACGGCCGAGTACGCCTTGTGGATCGGCAACACCAGCGACTCCCCTCTGGATCTTTGCTGCTCTGAACTTTGTGGGTTTGGGATGGGCAGTTACTCGGACCGTCCTGTTCGCTCCTCGTCTGAAATAAGAATATCGAATCAAAGCAACAAGCACACCCCTTAGTTTTAAATGAAGTGTGAGATTCCAAAAGAAGACAATAAGAATCATGTATTTGGCACGACGAGTGGTACCACTACTGAGTGCTAAACAACCATTGCACGAGTGTTCCGGCATTGAAGCAGGTTTTAATGCGAGAGCCCGCTGATTCCAGGAAACGTGCTGGAGGAAAGCTCCGGGGTGCCATGGCGATTGGGCAGCGACAAGGAGCTCGTTGTCGTGAACAAGTCAGCATTGCCACTATGCGAATTGCTGCGGCTGAAGGCCGCCCACGATTGACAGATTAAGAAGCATGCTAGCACTCGTAGCGCAGCGGGATTGTGCATTGGGTCCTGACATCACATGATGCCGGTGTAAGTTTTGAAGGGCAGACTTAAATGAATGTGATGATTCTCAGTGTCAGTCTAATGACGACAATGATGATTGATGGTGATGATGATGAAGTAGGACTGGGTGGCTTCGTGATGTGGAAGGTTATTAAAAGCCTGGTTTGCGTTACTAGGCCACGGAGGAGGGCCTCGTGAATGTGGAGCTGGAGTCCCACGTGGTGCTGCCCAAGCCTCCTGCTGCTTGCTTGCTATGCTTATTAATCTAGAGGTGAGATTCAACATGACCTGTCATCCAAGACTGCTGCTGCGCCAGAAGATGCCGCGACCCAGCTTGATGATGACGAAGCCCTGTTTGGGTTCAGATATGATGTGGCCCCGACCGTGAGCTGCAAGACGAGTGTCTTCAAGCCAGCAGCGTTGAGCAAAGAGGAGACAGAGAATGTCCGTGCTGTCTCCCTCGCCGCTCTCTTCAGTGGTAACTATGACCGCTTGCCCCGCAACAAGATTGCCACTGTGGCTTGGGAGGCCGTCGTGCTGCAACCACTGCGGGCTTTTCATTATGTCTGTATAATTACTGTTGCAGCAGCAAACGATAAAAGGTTGTCGGGCATCCTCCGTGGAGTCAATCGTGTCATTGAGCAGATTACTTTGGTTCAGCTGTCATTGTTTATGTTGCAGGTGACGGTGAGCGGGACACCGCCCAAGATCATGCCGATCAAGCCGAAGATCTACTTGACCTGCAGCGTGCGACTGCCTCCGCAAAGTTGGTGCAAGGTCAGCTCCTGATCCTGAGTTTTTCCGGACGCTGCAGTTCGGCTAATGTATTCGCAGCTGCTTCCTATTTGCAGCTTTATATGTAATGGAAATACATATAAGCAAGAAATATTCAAATGGAAATATTCAAATGGAATTGATGCAGTCACTCGCACAACACTCGCTCCTTTGTTCTCTGGCGGGAAATGCAGATCCGAGCTTCAGCAGCAAGAAGCTGCCTGTGAAAAGGGTCTGCATGTTTTCTCCCCCCCCGATGGGATCTAGGTGCATCAAAAGGCACCGACCTGCCATGGAGAGAGAGAATGCAGATGGACCGATCCTTTTAAAGGACAGACCATATAGAGGCAGAACAAATGCAAATGCAAGCAATGCGAAAACAGTGTAAGAGTGCAAACGCCAGCACTC